GCGGGAGATGTGGGAGACACGGTTGAGGGCGTTCTCGACCACCGAGGGGGGGAAGTTACGGTCCTTGAAAAACGAGGACAACTGAGATGTACGGGAGTGGAATGCCTCATCCTGGGAGCAGATGTGGCGGAGGCGAAGGAATTGGGAATAGGGGATAGCATTTTTGCAGGAAGGTGGGTGGGAGGAGGAGTATTCTAGGTAGCTGTGGGAGTCGGTGGGCTTGAAATGAATATCGGTTTCTAGGTGGTTGCCCGATATGGAGACAGAGAGGTCCAGGCTAGCACTTTGAAAGAGCTATCTGATTAGTCCATGTCTCTCCAGCCCTTCAATTGTATTCCTTCAGATGTTTATTTTGTTCATTCCTGGGGTGTGGGCATCAATGGCTGGGCCAGCATTTACTTCCCAACCCCAGTTGCCCCTTCAAAAGGTGGGGGTGAGCTGCCTTATTGAAGCGCTGCAGTCTGTGTGAGTTTTAAGTTGACCCACAATTCCCATCGGGAGGGAATTCCAAGATTTTGACCCAGCGGCACTGGAGGAACTGATGGTGTGTGGCTGGGATGCAATATCTCCCCTTATCCTTCTAGGCAGTAGAGTTTGTGGGTCTGGAGGGTGCTGTTACAGGAATTTTAGTGAGTTGTTGCAGTGCATCTTGTAGATTGTACACACTGCTGCAACTGAGCGACAGTGGGAATGATTACTCGAATTCTAGTATTCCAATTATACTCTGATTTTTCTCCTGAAATTTGCCTGCCACAGTTAATTCTCAAAGACTCAATTCTGTTCTCTCTTTATTCAGGATATTATAGAATATCCTATCAGTGTCTATTATTGCAGAGTTTCTCTCTCTCTGTCTCTCTGCTCAGGATATTATAGAGGGTTGTTAACCCTACACATTGTGAATAGGGACATGAGAATACTTAGTATGAAACTGAAAAAATTGACCTAATTTTGGACCCATGTTTCCATGTGCTTCAAACTGTGTGATTAAAATATGACAACAGGAAGTAATGGTGAGGGAGTAGCATCAGTTGTTTGATTTGAATATGCTCTTGCTGTATCTTTCACCATCGGTGCACATCGTCGAAATTTTTCAGATATTTACACAGCCTGGGTTGCACAGGACCTGAAGACGGATTTGTTGGCACAAACTTGGAACAGGACCAAGGAAGAGCTCCCTTCGAACTGCTCCCTCCCCAAACACGTCTACAATGTCGCAAGGGTCAAATTGCCAGGGCCAGCCAGCTTCCACTCGGACAATGATCACTCCAAGTGGTGTGTCTCCCTGCGCTACCACGAGCAGTGGGTTTGTATCGGAGATCTCAATCGGTCAGTTGGCCAAATGTGGAGAAGTGGGGGGCTTCTCTGCACACAGCACCTGAATATTTACCAAGCTCTGCGGAGGTCGGTCTCCTGGTACAATAACTGCACAGACTCTCAGTAGTGGGACAAAAGGCCAGCTGACACCAAGTTTTCAGTCATTGCGGTGACAGCATAGCCCTTAGACAACATGCCTCGCTTCTACCTTTCCTCTTAGTCTGGCAGATTAAATGAAGCAGCAACAGAGACTGTCGGTATACCTCCCTTCTCAACGCTATCATCTGTGTCAGTTGGAATCTAATCCGCCTTGCAAACCACAACGTGTCTCTTTCAAGAAATAATTCTTACGATTTGGATTCCTCCTTCCCTCCATCTCCCTCCATCTGAACTGGAGCTTTCTGGGTTTATCTGTTGAACCTTTGTACAACAATATCAAACATCATAAATACTAAATGAGTCATTGTTTCAGCCTGTCGAAGATATAAAACCTCCAAAGCATTCACTTTCTGTGAAAAACTTATTTTGATCTTATGTGGAAAATGTGATGCTGATATTTTCTCATCAAACTGCTCAGATATTCTGTCACACACTTCTGGGGCAGGTAGAGCTTGAAGGCAGACATCCTAACTCAGAGGTAGGGACACCACCACTTCACAAGAGACCCACTAAGTTAAATGTCATGTACTATTTTGGATATTGGTTTGTTAATTGGGTAATTCTAATTGTTTAATATGCCAATCATATTCTGCGTGGAGACGAGATAATGTAAACCACATGATTTGGTCTCTGATAGAGCCTTGTGGAAGATGTAAGACGCAGTAAGATGTGTTCCAATAAAACTTCTGTTTCACATACCTCTGCAGACACATGAAGCATTTTGTGTTAGACTGTAAGGCCATAAGATACAGGAGTAGAAATAGGCCATTCAGCCCATCGAGTCTGCTCCATTATTTGATCGTGGCTGATATGTTTCTCAACCCCATTCTTCTGCCTTCTCCCTGTGACCGTTGATCCCCTTACTGATCAGGAACCTATCGATCTCTATCTTAAATACACTCCGGGACTTGACCTCCACAGCCCTCGGTGGCAATGAATTCCACCAGATTCACCACCAAGGGTGAGTGAGACAGATTTTCAGTCAGTAAGGGAATCAAGGAGCAGGGGGAAAAGACAGGTAGGTAGAGTTGAAGATTATCAGATCAGCCATGATCTCATTGAATGACAGAACTGATTCTCACCTAAGTCCTTTACAACTGCAGCAAAACCCAACTTACTCCTACAATCATAGAATCCCTACAGTGCGGAAGCTGGCCATTCAGCCCATCAAGTCCACACTGGCCCTCCAAAGAGCATCCCACCCATTCCCCCTACTCTATCCCTGTGACCCTGCATTTCCCAATGGCTAATCCACTTAAGTAGCACATCCCGGGACATGCTGGGCAATTTAATTGACTATATAAACCTTATCAACTGCAGACAATAAACCAGGAACTGATTCTACAACCTTACCCACTCAACACCAAACTTAGGTCTCTCACTCCCGCGCTCCCTTCCTAGCAAACTACACATACAAAAAGAAAGTACTTTATGTCTTTTTCTCAATGCTCGCTCAGTCAGTCTGCAAACCTACTTCCTCAGCAGCCAAGGACAGTAAGAACTGCCGATGCTGGAGTCAGAGATAACACAGTGTGGAACTGGAGGAACACAGCAGGCCAAGCAGCATCAGAGGAGCAGGAAAGCTGACGTTTCGGGTTGGGATCCTTCTTCAGAAACGTCAGCTTCCCTGCTCCTCTGATGCTGCCTGGCCTGCTGTGTTCCTCCAACTCCACACTGCACTATCTCCTCAGCAGCCAAACCTAGCTTACTTTTTGAGTTGCAATTTTACCTCCACCCCCTGCTTAATAAAAATTTGTCTCTCTCAGATTTAAATGTAACAATTAAATTAGCATCAGCTGCTGATTGAGGAAGAGAGTTCCAAATCACCACAACTCTTTGCTTTCTAACATAAAAACCGAAAGAACTGCAGATGCTGTAAATCGGAAACAAAAACAAAAATTGCTGGAAAAGCATCTGTGGAGAGAAATCAGAGTTAACATTTCGGGTCAGGTGACCTTTCCTCATAACAGGTTATCTCTGATTTCTCTGCACAGATGCTACCAGAACTGCTGAGCTTTTCCAGCAATTTCTTTTTTGTTTGTCTAACATTTCTACTGAATGGTCTGGCCCTAATTCTCAGACTATGCCCCCTGGATCTACGATCTTCAACCAGTGGAAATAGGTTACCTTTGTCTACTCTGCCCTTCCCTTTTAATGTCCTCTAAACCTCAATTAGATCACCTCTTAATCTTTTAAATTCTAGACAATAAAGGCCTAATTGTGTAATCTCTCCTCATAATTTAACGCCTGAAGTCTAGGTATTATCTTTGTAAACTGTGTTGAACTCCCTCCAGGCCCAAAGCATTCATGTGAGTCCCTCTAAATCATTGAGCCATATTCTGGAATTGTTGTGGCCCAGCTTTCAGACCTGTTAATTTTTCCAGTACTCTTTTTTTTAACTAATTATAATTTTCTTCAGTTATTCCTTCACAGTAGACCCTTGTTTAGAACACAAGAACATAAGAAATAGGAGCAGGAGTGGGCCATCTGGCCTATTGAGCCTGCTTGCTTCCCCGGCATTTCTGGGAAGTTACTTGTGTCTTCTTTTGAGAAAATAGAACTACAGCAGTTGTTTACTTGCCCTGGCATTTCCTTGTTTTTGATGGTCAAATCTTCAGTTTTGGATTGTAAAAGGACCAGCTTTTGTCTTTGCTAATCTTTTTCTTTTTGAATATTTACAGAAGCTCTTACAGTCTGCTTTCATATTCTTTGCCAATTTATTCTCAAACTCTATTTTACCTTCTGAATTAATCAATTAATCTCTTGGTTGCCCTTTGCTGAATTCTAATTGCTCCCAATTGTCAGGCTTACTACTTTTTTCAAACAACTTTATCCTGTTTCAATCTATTAATATCCTGAATTTCTTATATCAGCCATGTTTTTTGTCCTTTCCCTGTAAGAAAAGAATGTATAACTGTTGTAACGTATGCAGATGTTACTTGTATATTAATTGTAAATTGGTTACAGAGGACAGTAAGAGAAGACATTTTATCTGGAACGCTACAGACCCAGCATCCACTTCCATGTGCAACAAAAATATAAATTGCTGGAAAAACTTTTCTAGCAATTTCAGTTTTCGTTTCTGGTTTACAGCATCTGCAGTTCTTTTGGTTTTTAGCTATTTCTGTGTGATCTGATATCATTGAGACAGCTCCTTTCACACATGCTCAGCAATTACATCCAGAGAAAATAAATAATTCTCTGTACTTAGCAGTGAAGCCATTATTTGTATCGGGTTGCATTCGGACAAGAAAATCTCTGTAGTAGTCACAGTCTTTGGCTACACTGACCTTATCACAGGGAGAGGAAACTGTGTGTTCTGGCAGCAATTGTGATCCATAACAGCCTTGATACATCTGTAGGGTTGAGAATAGAGAGATCCCACATGGGTCCCCAGTGGATCCTGGGAAATAGCCAGCATAAAAACTTAACACAGCAATCGTCTTGACAACCACTGAGATGGGATAGCCACCAACTCCTTCAGGTTACCCCCTCAGGGTCCAGCAGTTAGTAAAGCTCTGTGACAGTGTCCTGGGAGACGATACAGCACCCCACTCTATCCAGTGGAAATGGCTTCCAGGATAATAGACTCGGGGCATCCTGCACCTCCTGTGGGATGTGGGGGGACAGTCTCCAGGTGGAGGCTGCTCAACAGCTGCTGGTTGTCACTGCTGGTCTAGGACTTGTTGGAGCATCTGTTCCTCCTACATTTCTCTGTGCCGCCATAGTCCTGTGGCTGCAGAGACAATGACTTCTGTTATTACTGCATCCTTTGGCCATGGTTCCAATGACCCTGTGAGTGGAATATCAGAAAGAGAACAGGCCCTTAGTAATGGGAGCAGCCAGCATTCACATCACGCATGAGTGATGGGTTTGTTTAGTCCTCCCATTCAGTGGGACCTGGAGGTCTCCAACAGTGAGAGCCAAAGGATACTTCTACATGGAAACAAACCCAGTCTGTCCAATCTCTGTTCATCTCTGAAACTGTCCAGCCCAGGCAGCATCCTGGTAAATCCCACCTTTGGAGTTGGGAGAAAGGCATAATGCATAAATAAATCTATATGAATGATAAACGGAAAGAAAGCAAAACAATGAGCACTAATGAGTTGTTAATGCATGCAAATGGACTTCTGATCGCTCACCAATGAGAGTGCTGTTTGGCTGATAACACCCTCGGTTTGAAAATCGGATCTTATTTTCACAGCATCAGGAATCTCTCTCTGCTGCTTGGCCATACTAAATAGCCCATAGTGTCCAAGGGTGTGCAGGCTAGGTGGATTATCCATGGGAAATGCAGGGTCACAGCGATAGAGTAGGGGGCTGGGTCTGTGTGCGATGCTCTTTGGAGGGTCAGTGTAGACTCGATGGGCCAAATGGCCTGCTTCCACACTGTAGGGATTCTATGATTCCAATCTCACCATATTTTCTCAACTGTCTCACCATTACCCACATCTTTCAGGGACTGGGGAAACTCGGCACACTATCAGCAAACCTGGTGTCAGTTTAAGTTCCTGATACCAAATGCATACATCTTCGGCAGAAGGTGGGACTAATCCCGATAAGCTGAATCGGTTTATTACATAATACTTAATAGCTAGTTATATTACACCTCTGAAACATAAGGGTCTCTTGTGAACCCAACTTAAGTGTCAATACACTTTATTGTTAGTTAGATGGACTAATCGCTGGAAAATCAACATCGAGACCAGGATGCTGGTTAGCTCCTTTCAGAAACAGTCCTTGAGGATTCAATGGGGGGGTCTTATCTTCCATTCTGAGTTGACCATTTCTGGTAGGAACTGCTTTTTACAACAGGAGGGAATTAAATTGTAGTGCTTATGGAGAAAGGCTAGGGATGTTGGACTAGCCAAGCTGCTCTATAGAGAGCTGGCATAGGTTCAACGGGCTGAATGGCCTCATTCTGTGCTGTAAGAATTGTCAGATTTAATGGCTTCCTGTTTCTAAATTTCTTCACATGAAATATCCAAAATATTCTGAAAGCACACGGCACCAGGTTATCGTCCACTAGGCTTATGGTGTCATGTGATTACCGATGCTGTGCACCCCAGTCCAACACCAGCACCTCCACATCAAAATATTGTGGGCTTTGCAGAAGATTTAATTGATCAGAAGTATCTCCCTGTAGATTGCAAAAGTTACCATTCCCTGCTCCTCCATTTATACGGAGATGTAAATGACCTTCCGCATTCATTGTTGTCCTTTCTGAATGTCTTCTGTGAATGCATTAACCTAAAGCCGCAGCTCAGATCAGATTACAATTGAAAGAGTGTGACATTTTCCAACGTAGGGAATAAATTACAGTCACTGCCCAGGATCAGGAGATAAATGTGGATGACAAAGGCAATTCATCAGGTCATTACCAGTTTGCATTTATGAAGTCAAAAGAAATGTTTGATTGCAAGGATCATAACATTAACTGGGCTGTTAACTGTATGAGATTGTGCAAGTAAGTAACTCACCTTCCTTTTGCGAGTTACAACAACAATTTATTTCATATAATACCTTTATGGAGATTATACGTCAAAATTTCAAACTGAACCAAATAAGGAAATGTCAGACAATAAGACATTGGGGCAGAATTAGGCCATTCAGCCCATCGAGTCCGCTCTACCATTCAATGAGATCGTGGCTGATCTGATAATCCTCAACTCCACTTTGCTGCCTTTTCTCCATAACC